CTATCTTAAGCCCTCTTAGCCTTGTGAGGCTTGGTTGACTTAACCATGGTTCGAGTCCCTTTGACTCGCTTCAAGGTTGACTTAACCATGGTTCGAGTCCCTTTGACTCGCTTCAAATACTTGGACCATTGTTGCATGTTTAGCTTGCCTTGTTGCTTGGTTTGGCACCATGTTTTAGCATGATTTTTAGAGCTTATGTTGCATGCTAATTGTCCATGATATCCTCATTCAAGTGTGCTTGAGAGTTGCCTCACTTGTGCCTAAGTGTTGACCCTTTAACATGTGCATGTGCGTATGTGTTTTGGTCCTTTATTTTGGTCACTTTGGCTACTGTTATGGGCCTATTTAGAGCTGCCCAAATCATGTTTAAGTCCATTTTTTCATCCATTTGCATTGCCTCATGTTTGCTTGTATGCTTGCATAAGTGTCTTGCCATGCCATGTTGCATCCTTAGCTTGTATGCCTAGGTTGCATTGCATCTTGCATGCATGCCTTGTTCCTTGACTTGGTGATAGGAATTGGGCCTTGGTTTGTTTGTTTGGTTTGCATTTCATTTGACATGAAAGTTGCACACTTGACTCCTTGGACCATCATGCATGGAAAATGCGTGATTGGTGGTCTGAGAATCAAGACACATGTCCTTTTGAGTCACAAGCATGATAGGGGACATGAATGGTGCATATATGCCTTGAATTGTGCTGCCATGCTCTGTCTTGCCCTCTGTTGCTGTCAATTGCAGATTCTGCAGGAACACTCTGCCGACCGGCAGTGCCAAGTGCCGACCGGCAATCCTTTCTCTGCCGATAGCTTCACCAATGGCCGGTGGCCACATGCTACTGCCGGTGGTAATCCCACTCGGCCGGTGATGTCTTCCAGTATCCAGAGAAGCAACCCAGAGGTTTTGGTAGCCTCCAGAGGAGTAAAAGAAGGAAAACAGAGGCAGCCCATGCATGGCGGTGCGCTTCCGAGCAGGACCGAGCACGCATTTCATAGAGCTCTTCTCCCGAGGCGGTGTATCTGTTTTCCTAGCTTAAATTAGTTTGTTAACTGATTAGGAAATTTGTAATATTTAATTAGCTTGCGTAGTTAATTAATTTGTATCATTTATTTGGTCCCTCCGAGTGAGGGCAAATCTGTAATAAGTGTATGTGAGTGGTGTGTATGTCTTCCAATCCCCACTCCTTTCTTCCCTTTTATTTACCTGCTTATGATGGTAGATTAGGGCACGTCTAAATTGGCATACTTTATGCTATGCATGCGTGCATTCATGCATTTGTATTGCATGCATTAGGCTCGGTACATCACGCTAACTGCATTTGTACTTCAAATTCAAAACTGAGTATCTGATAGTTGATCGCATTTCACATACCATGCTTAGGTTAGCCGAGCCTATTCTAAGTACATCTTGTATGTGTTGCACTAGCCATTTTTAACATGAACTAGGATCACGCATGTTTGCTAACTAGTTTATTGTTTTGGCACGGAGTACAAAGTAAGTATTTATGCTTTAGCATCTTGCATGCATGTGAGTGCTATCATGACAGTATGTTTAACATGTGGCTAGATGATTATATGCTATAAACTGTTGGAATGCCCGTGGGTGAAGGTTGGATTGTTTGAGTTGGAATAGCTCATTGAAATCTGTGTTTTAGCCTACTTGCGAGTAGCAAATTCCAAAACATTTTTTCAAGACAAACGAATATGCAGTGCTTGTTTCCAAATTAGGCAATCTAGTCTATACTTGTTTGCTGTGCGCATAACATAGTAATTCTAGGCTAATAACTGGAATAAGAAGACATAACGTTTTCAAAACGGATATCACGGTTAGTAGAGGCCGGTCTTCGGACCGGGTGAGAGGGGGTGCTCATAGCTGACCTTCCCCAATCGTACCCTAGCTCCCGAGCCGAGACAACTCCGGTGATGACGGACATGTGGCCTTCGGCATCGAGTCAGGGTTTCCTAAATTCTCCCATTTTAAAATATTTAGGTGGCGACTCTGTATCTGGCAAAGCAGTCCATGTTTGGCACTTCTTTCAAAAAAATCTGTTTTTCTCAAAACGATTTGCCAAATTTAGACTCTTTGGTTCAGATTAAGAACCGTGACACAAATCGAGTCCGAACTGTAGCGAGGCCCACGCAGGCGCGTCTACACAAGGCCAATCAGCGCACGACACGTGTCCCCATTAATAGCAGCATCAGAGCTGAAGAGACAAGAAGGTCAGACGAGGTGTTGACCGAACAAATCAAGACACAAGAAGGTCAGACGAGGCGTCGACCGAGTAAGACAAGGAACCAAGCGCAGAAATTAGCTCGGTCGACTTCTTGCAAAGCTAAGAACTGAGGAAGTGTTTACCTCGGTCAGAATAGGTAATCCCAGTCACGTTTGTGCTGACGGAATTAAGGGGCAATTGAGAGGGAGATTTATGATCTGGGTTGGGTTGTGGTAATGGCCGGACAGATTTGGGTCGAACAAGATTGGGCCGAGGTAGCGCGGCCCGTGCCCTGAAAGGATTTGCTCGGTTAAGGCAAGGCGTGGTTGGACCGAGCTACTTGGCTTCATGGTATAGAGGTCGGGCAAGTGAGATGTCCAGTGCCGGGAACGGCGTTGTTGTTCTACGGTTCATGAGTTAGCCCGGCAGGAAGGCCGGCGGCAAACCAGTATGAACTGTCTCGAGATCGGCTATGCCGGGATGCAGCCAAGCTCGGTCCTCATTGAGCACGGCGAGCGGAGCGCTCTGGCCAGCTGCACAGCATGGCCGTTGATACCCGAGAAGATTCAGCCCAGCTGCCGAGCTCCTAGTAGAGTGGGCTGGCAATTTGGTTAGGTGGTACTCAGCAAGATTTGTGTGACAGATGGGATAGCAGTACCATGTGTCGAGAGACGAATGGGAGTAGATTTGGGGCGCAGAAGGTATATAAGTGAGTCTGCGCCCCCCATGCTGATGGAGATGACATTTTGGTGAGATAAACACTAAACACAACTCAGTCCTCTCTCTCTCTCTCTATCCCAGTGTGTGTCTAACTTGATCGTCGAAGGGGTTTTCCGGCCACACACCGCCGGGTAGCTCACCGCCGTTGTGCTCGCAGGTCGATCGGACAGACACGAGCTCAGAAGAAAGGTGTGCGGGTTTGCCTGAATATTTACTCGCCGCATAGTTATTAAAGTATGAGAATTGTATCATTTTAGTTCTCAATATTTAAATTTTATTAATTTAGTTGTCAATATATAAAATATGTTTCAGACATAACTTCGTTTATATAGATGCCATTAAAGTTAGGAGTAAATATGAAAATTTAATTAAAAAAAATACTCTTTTAGTCTCTCAAATTAAGATATTTGTGTTATTTGGTTTTCAATATTTAAATTGTGCAATTTTAGTCCTCAGAATATAGAAAGTGTTTTAATTTGATTTCTAACCTAATTCCTTCTCTCTTCATTTGAACCGAGGACAAAATATCAAAATTATAAACACACATCAATAAAAACAGAGTCAAAAATAGGAAAATATTATCCAATATATAAACAGAGTCAAAAATAGGAAAATATTATCCAATAGATATACATATGTTACTTGTATATCAAAATATATTAAATAATGTAATACAGTAAAGTATTTTTTGAAACAAAAAATAAAAAAGTGTGAAAGAAAATTATCGAAAAAATAAAAATAAAAAAAATTGACCACGAGTATTTCATTCATCTGGAAAAGTAAGGTTTGGGCAATAATTTTTTTTTTCTCATCAAGAAAATTACATTTTTGTTAGTAGCAAGAATATTTTTCCTGCAAAGATGGTGACTCTTTTTTTCATCTTTGGATGGTATGTATTTACTATTTCTAAGTTTTACGATTACGCTTAGTTTGTTTGGAATTTTGAGTGTCTAATACAATAACAAACGAAAGTTAAAGGAGAATCTTTTTTTTATGATCAATGAAAAATAAGTTTATTTGAGTAAAAAATATTTTTTATTTTTAAAAGACAAAATACTTTCTGAACTAAAATTTTACCAATGTCACCTCGTTACTGCCGCCACTCTCACCTTCACTATCATTACCACGTCCATCGTCAACTATCGCCATTGTCATCAATGCCACCACCACCCAACCACCATGCTTTGACATAAATTGCATATTTTGAAAACAAAAATAGTAGTAACTTTTAAAATTTGATTTCCACATTTACCTTTGATTTTAATGACATCTACCTAAAGAATTAAATTGATGATTATATTGAAATATTTTTATCTATTGGAAATTAAATTGAGAGTTATTTACACATAGACCCCTAAGCTATTGAGAAATGTTATTTTGACTTTCTAAATTTTAAAAGCATACAGATGAACTCTTTAAATTATTGAGAAGTATCACTTTGTTCCTCGGCATGTTTCACTTTGACACATTTTATTAACGATCTAGTTTGTATGTTTTTATAATTTAGAAATATTTATATACTTTTATAATTTAGAGGATAAAGTAATATATCTTAATAATTTAAGGATCCCTTTATATATTTTTATAATTTAAAGAATCAAAACGATATTTATCAATAATTTGAAAATATACTTATACGATTGTATAATTTAAGAGGTAAATAGCCTGAAGGGGGTACAGTTTAATCATTAAGAACCAAAATCATACAAATTCTATATTTAAAGGGAAAAAAAAAACTAAATTAAATGGTACACATGGGCCACCATTAAAGAGAAAAACTGTTATCTAATTTAATTGTCAAATAAATTTTAAGCAATAACGACATTGAAATGTATGCATTAGCTGATCGGGTGTCTTCAGTTTTTAGTCTAGCTAAGAATGATCTATGTTACAGGTACTCACAATTTCCCACGTCATGATCCACAATGTAAAAATGACTTAGTTAAGCAACGTGGCCTATTCTCATTGACTACTTTCGACGTAGTAGAAAAACGCAGTCGCATGGGAAAACTAACCCCTAAGTGGATGCATGAGTAGTGCCACGTTGCTGCTTCTCTTCGGTGCCGAGATACAAGACCAAGAGCCCCCCCCCTTCTTTCTCTCTCTTTCTCTCTGTAACTTTACAAAACATTATTCAGCTATATAATCAATTTCATATAGAGAGGGTTCCAATTCTCTCTCTAGGGTTTCAGATTCTCTTCCAATCTCTCTGAGAGATATACTTTCTAGAGGGAGAAAAAAGCTTAGCATTTTTTTTTTTGTTCTTTATGAATTATGCGGAATTCAAGCTGATTCTTTCACTTCACTCGTACCTCAGATTCGGATCTTTCACGATCTTCACAGTTCAGTTTCGATCCGATTATATGTGGAGCTGAACCTGGAAGATTAATGAACCGATCTGTAATAGCTTGAAAGATTATATTAATTGAATCAGCTCTCATTCGGTCACTTTAAAGGATTAATTTTCGTAATCACATTAATGGATCTGTCTTCGTGATGTGTTGGATTGGAGTCGACTACTTTGAGAGTAAGATTGGATTTCTGTCTGTTTAATTGCACTTGATTAGGTTGATTTTTGTTTTTCTATTCGTTAATCTGTGTTAATCAAATGTTGCATTCTTTGCAGTTTTTATCTTCTGTTTGGTTGCTCAGAAACTGTAGGAAAGAAAAAAAAAATTTTGAATTTTGATCTAGAGTTTATGTTGCTTGAAAATAATAGCATTTTAAAAGTTTGGATTTTCGTCCGTTGATTCCTTAGGAAATTAAAGCATCTAGGATGAATCAAAGATAAATGATTTGTCTTAGAAGTTGAATGGAGTTTTTCTTACTTTTGGGAAACCAAAACGATGCAAAATGGATAATTTCTTTATTTATTTATTTATTTTTTTGACTCCCTTATGTAGACTGGGCCTAACGCAATTATCATTTACTTGAATTGGAAGTTAGCATTTTCAATGAATGAGATGAGAATAAATTTCTAGAAAAAAAATGTTGTTTTCATTCTCATTTCCTTAAGTTTCTCAGTGACAAAATGGAGTTATGATGATCATATGAGTAGATAGTTTTCAAATGGCAGATATCATGTGGATTTCTAGAAATTGTTTTGGTTTATCAGGGCAAAAAGGTGGCAATTGAAGCTGGGGGTCATCCTTTTAGATGGTATGCAACAGTAGCTTTAGGTTCGTGATTCTTCAAGCTGGGCATATTGAGAGATTCACCTGGGGAAGGGTTCAATTGAGCAACTTAGGAAGAAGTTTGAATGCAACTTGGGCTCAGACATATTCCAAAGGTCACAAATTTACCAAGAGAGGAGAGATGATGGTTGATTCTGGTGCAACTGCTAAAGGAGGGCCTACTGTTGATATCTTGCGTGAGAAAGATGATGATCGCAGCTATGCCAGTGGAGGGTGGAAAAGGTGGTTGGTTATTTATCCATGTCATCATTTATTTTTCTGTATATAATGATAGGAATACTACTGGACAGCATACATTCCTGCAAGTTGATTTGTGCTATTTTTTTAGTCCTTTCTAGATTGTACCTTTATGGCCACTTTGTCAACTCAGCCTAGTCCTCCTTACAGTTGACTTATGATGTCTTTTGTGCATTGTGTTGTTTGACAAGTTGTGATACATAACATAAATTTGACATTCCAAAAGGGTGCAATTTAGGGGAAATTGAAAATCAGTGAGACAGTGAAAAAATATTTGCATTTTCATGGTGGTGCAAATTTCCTGTGTGCATAGTGCAAGTCCTTCATGTGTATGGTGCAAGTCATTCTTGTGTGTCAAAGTTGCACACAAAAAGATTCTATCTATAGTGCAATTATTTTTTCATTGTCCCACTGATTTCCAATTTCCCCTGTAATTTATCAGTTTGCGTGTAGTTTTCTTTGCAAATCCATCGTCTTTAAAAACTCAACTCAATAAGCCTTTGTCCAAATGACATGAAGAAGGGTATAAAATATGTGGTTGCCATGCCACATGGGATGTCTGAATGAACATGCTCTAATTAGGTATATTTGTGGCAAAATGTTGTTATTTGAGCTTGATGCTTTGTGCAGTAGCCAGTAAGTCTATATTGCATTCTAAACCCAAGGAAACTAAGGATATCAACTTGCAAAATACTATAAATATCATTTTTTTTCTCGTGGTTTTAATTCAATTTTCAAACTGTGTCAAGGGGGCGCAATCCATATATATGCTTACAATGAATGAAGAAAATATTTTTTTACAACTTATCACAAAAAATTGTTTTATGCCATTGCTCCGCATGGAGGTTAAAGCTTGGGTTTGGGCCATTATTTTCTATAATGTAGTGGAATGTTTGGCCTCTTATGTATCAAGCCCGTAGCATTGCATTGAAAGGACTAATGACCTTTTAATAGCTTTACTATCATTTCCTGACAGGTGAAGAGGGGGAGTGTAAATGATTACTCTCTGATTGGAATTATCCTAGCTAAAGCAGAGATGAAAGCATTTCTTTATCTTATGTTCATGTTAAAATGTTTTTACACTAGATTTGGAGAAATCAACCTCTCTCTCTCTCTCTCTCTCTCTCTCTCTCTCTTGTCTAGTCTATATGAGCTCTGGAGAAATCTACCTCCCTTGGTACCATGTTCTTGAATCAAGTCTATATGAGGTTTGCATGGTTAGTGTGATCTTTTTTGCAATGATATAAAAAAGCTTTGGTTTTGAATGTTTTATATTTGTCGAGAGTGGATATATTTGATGCTATTGGCTGACAATTATTCTTTGTCTGGTATGCTGTGCTTACTTTTTCTTTTTTTGTCTCTATTATGATTTTACAGTGAAGACAGAAGATTGAGCTGTGGATATTCAAGTTTTAGGGGGAAGAGAGCTAGCATGGAGGATTTCTTTGATGTTAAGACTTCCAAGATTAATGGACAAACAGTCTGCATGTTTGGGATATTTGATGGTTAGGTTTTTTATGATAATTTTGTCTTGAAGCTTGAACTATGATATAAAATGATATACATATATATATATATATTTGTTTTGGCAAGTAAGCATTTTATTATTGTGAAAATGAAAGATATATAGTGAAGCTCAAAAGGTCAAGACATGCTTACTGGCACCTAGCTGTATCAAATAGAGACACGCACAAACCAGACCTAGCCTATGAAAATCCACTCATGGCCTGAGAGGCTAGGTTTGGAAAGGCAAATACACTAAACAGGAAAAACTATGATCCAACCTACAAACTAAATCTCTCACAAATCACAACTCGAGATGCAAGACACAAATCAAAAAAAAAAAAAAAAACTCCCTCTTGGAAAGTCAAATACATTAAACAGGAAAAACTATGATCCAACCTACAAACTAAATCTCTCACAAATCACAACTCGAGATGCAAGACACAAATAAATAAATAAAAAAAAAAACTCCCTCACACAATTTCACGACCAAGAAAGGTTATATAACCAAGAAAACTTGGGAGGCTTTTGCACCCCTGCATTGCGAGGCTGCTTTTGCATAGCTTTTCCTGTCGAGTAAAAACAGTAGCTTTAACCTTCTATCGATCGATACCCGTCTTTAGGTGCCTTATCTTATCCGAAAAGCTCTTGTTCTCCTCACTTGATGGAGTTCTTCTTCTCCAATGTTAGATTTTCACTTAACGCTTTTACCTTCAAGCGTGAATTATAACATGAAATGTTAGATTTTTCTCTCATCTTCTTCTTCTACGAGGCTTGGATAAGGATGCAAGTTGTAGCTATGTAAGAAACTTATCTGTTTGTCTAACATATAAACAAGGAGTCCAACATGGGAAACACCTAAATACTGAATTCACAGGTGTCAGCCAAAATCACTTGAACATGCATTATTCTCACAACAGAAAAGAATCGGTGAAATAGGAATATACTTATATCGTAAGCTCTTAACAATTTATGGTCTTTATTATTTGTGTTGAGATATTGGGACGTGGATCAAACGTAGTGTTTTGGATGTATTGTTATTTAATGGCTCACATCTGGCAGGTTGCCTCCTTAATAAGATTAGCAAAATTTGTTCCCATTGCATCTGTTTACCACTTTGTTCTTTATTTAATATGATCTCTCAAAGAAGGAATATTATTAATTGAAAGATTACAGTTAGCTAGCAAAGCCCCTATTTGATTGTAGAACTTCTGAGGTACCACCTCATAAATGACTTAAGTTGCAAGTCTGTGCACATGGTCCATTTGTCCAGGCAGTTTGGTTACCTAAAACAACTCTTGAAGGACTAAATCCTTGATTACGAGTAAGATTTGATGTTTTTTATTTTGTTTTTATTTTATGTGCGATTAGTATGACACCACTGTGACAGGTCATGGTGGCTCTCGTGCGGCGGAATTTCTGAAGGAACATCTCTTTGAGAATCTGATGAAGCATCCACAATTTCTAACGAACACCAAATTGGCTATAAGTGAGTCAAGTTTCTAAAAATCCATTGCCAAGAACCATGTTTTTTTTTTTTTTTTTTTATGGTTCTAGAGAAGATTATTAGGCCCAGTGTGGTATGTCATGCTGGTACAAATGGTTTAGGTTGTAAAATTTTATGTGGAATGGTTGCAAATGTTAAAATGGAATCAAGTCCAGGTGTATCCTGTTTGCAGGGTGAGAGATCCTGGATAGGTCACTTTTAAAGCAATTAAGATCTGTTTGACCTGTAAATTATGTAAACTTACAGGTGAAACATATCAACAGGTTGACTAATTAAATGTCAAAATAGCATTTATGTTCATCTTCTATTCTGTTTGCAAGGTGTTGGATCCTGGACAGATCATTTTTTCACATATTAAGACCTTTTTCACCTGGTAATTTGTGTACTTGCAGGTGAAACATATCAACAAACAGACATGGATTTCTTGGAGTCTGAAAAGGACACTTTTCGCGATGATGGTTCTACTGCTTCCGCAGCAGTTCTGGTTGGTAACCACTTGTATGTTGCCAATGTTGGAGATTCACGGACTGTAATATCAAAGGCTGGCAAAGGTACTTTCCACATTATATTCTCAAGTTTGGTGATTACTGATGGGGTCAAATGAAGTTTCGAAATAATTTTGGGGTTTAGCATAAAATGTTTGACGTTGAGGTATAGGTTAAAATTCGAAATAGCTTTCTCATTTTTGAAGAAATATTGGAATGGGGATGATTAGTGGAATAATCATAATGCAGTTGCTTTGAATGAAATTGCACGGCATCAATTTGTGAGAAGAACTTTAGGACACATTGGGTGTTGGGCGGGCTTTGAAAATTCAAGAGGAAGCTCTGTGCACTATATTCTCAATTTTGTTGAGCAACTAAGGAAGAAAATGGTTTATTTTAATTGAAGAGCAACTTAGCTAACGAAGAAAATGGTTTATTTTAATTGAAGAGCAACTCAATATGCTGTGTCATACATAATATCATATTAGTTACTTTTTTGAATATAATAATATACATTATGTGCAGGAGGATATTATATTTGTGAAGGTTTTATTTGATAAAGAGTGGGCACTGTAATGGCAATGGAGATGGGGGGGAGTTTGGGTTGTTATATCAGGTCATAGTGCATTTTTCCAGTAGTGACAGGGAGAAATACCATATTTTGATCTTTAGGAAGCACAAGGGCTCTTGGTTGTAGATCTTACAAATTTTAAAATGGTGACCTCTACTCGAACTTGATATAGAGAGGAGGGGAAAATGTGAATCCTCAATTTGAGATTCTACTAATTTAGAATGTGAACTTAGGTGAAGTTTGTTTTAAGTATGATATCTATTGCCTTTGAAGATATATTATTCACACACCACCTATTTTTTTACCCATGCCATTGTTCAGATTTGATTCTATTTTCCCCTTTAATATTCTATCATAGTTATGTATGTGTGTGAACATCAATGTCACACTCCTCCAGACATGGAAGTAGACATTATGAGAAGTCAGTCATATCATATATTATAAATTAGTGAAGAATTAGTTTTCTTTTTTGAATAAGCAACTAGACATTATGAGAAAATTTATTTGCCTGTTTCTAGTAAAGGGAAAATTGTTAGGCAACTTTCAAAGTTCATTGTTGGACATATGCCATAAAAAATGAAAAACACACAAGCAAGTTGCAACTATATGTGCCAACCATTGGTTGTGTGCTGGATTGCCTTTGCAATTGGTTTTTCTGTGAAACAATATTTAATACACTCATCATAGTCTTGAATAGTGGTATCATGTAATTTATTTGTCTGTTAGGTTTTTTGTTTTTTTATTTGACAGGGAGACCCCCTAAATTTATTTGTTTGTGAGAGTTCAAGGGATCTTCGTGTAAGTACCCCTTTATCTAACTAATAAACACTCACCATCTCATTAAAATTTTGACAATAATAATAGCCTTAGTTGCACGAAGCAGGGGCAAGATGGGAGTGGAAGCGGGAGCGGGTTGGAAGAGTGAGGGCATATAGAAGTTTTTTAGGTTGGGAGCACCTGGTACATATTTATTTATTAAATATATAAAAATATTCTAACAATTATTTTTATTGCTTAGTTGTAATATATATATATATATATTGAAATATAACTAAATACTAGAGATTTATGTTGGCTACAAATTGTCTTTATTAAGTATAAATAAATATTATATGAATAGAAACTACTAGAATAAGTTTAAGTTTAACCTATGTTACATGGACTCGGCACTTTGGGGTGAAGTACCCATGTCGACACGACATGACACGGGTGTAGGCGCAGGATCTGTGTCGGATTCTCCTCTTCTCTCTCGGACACGGCTCTTTACGAACGGTGGCAAAAGAAATGAGAGGAGAGCAAGAACCAACTTGGTCACCGTTCGAAAGGGCAAGACATGGGTCGCCGACTTCAATCCCTCTGGTCATTGGACGAGAGAAGACATTGGTCGCCGACTTTGAGAGACGAGAGAGAAGACATTGGTCGCCGACTTCACTCGATCGAGAGATGAGAGCAAGAAAAAACTTTCGCTCAATCTCCCTTCTTTGTCTTCTCTCTTGTCTCTCGATCTCTCTCTTCCTCTCCTCTCGTCTCTCGACCTCGATCTCCCTCTTCTCTCTCTCTCTCTCTCTCTCCTCCTTTTTGTGTCTTCTCTTCTCTCTTCTCATCTTTGACTTCTCTCTTTCATTTCTTTGCTCTCTTTTCTTTTCTTATCCTTTGATTACATTTATATTATATTATTCGTATTATATAATATATTCACTCATAAAAAATTGAATAATATAATATATTATAAATAATATAATTTTTATATCTAAAATAAAAATAACTTATTTTATCATATATAATATAATTTATTTTATATCTAAAATAATTTATATAATTTATTTTTATTATTTATATTATATTTGTTATTTTTTTAACAAATCTGTTATTCCTTAGTTTTTTTTTTACTTCATCTTCATATAATAAATATATATATTTTTTAAAAATATTTAACGTTTTCCCGTACAAGTATCCAAATTTGTATCCATATCCACGTATCCTCAATTTTTAATTTTGAAATGTTCGACCCTTAGATACACACCCACACCCGCACCCGCACCCGCACCCGCACCCGATATTCGTACCTGAGTTCGTGTAACTTAGAGTTTAACTACAAATTGTCCTTCTTAAGTATAAGTAAATATTATATAGATATAAACTACTAGAATAAGTTTGAATTGTTTTTCTTTTATTTTTATGAGATTTATATGCTTGAGAGGTTTTTATCTCACTTGGGAGCGAGTTTCTTACAAGTTTCTTAATTGGGAGTATGAAATCGCGTTTCTCAGTAAGAAACGGCACTTGAGTAGAAGGTTCCTGCAACTAAGATTTGGGATGGTGGATTTGTTGAATATTTTATGTTTTTGACGAATATTTATTAGTATTTGGGATGTTGGGTTTGTTAGAATATATGTTGGGATTACTTTATTATTTGTTTTCTTATTTAGATTTCCTTATTTAGATTATATGTTTGATTCCTTCCTTGTAATCTTCTTGGGTTAATTAATATAAAAGGGGTGTGATATTATTATCAACCCTAAGTTTTGATTTCCCAAACAAGCATGGTATTAGAGCCACCGAAACCCTAGCTTTTAACCTTCGTTTGCCTCTTACTAGTCAAGCACAGCACCCCTAACACTACCACAGAACAACCGACACCCAAAACAGCCACTTCCGACAGCACCCAACCTTCTTCACTCCCCTAGGGCTTGTCGCATCTCTAGTTTGTCTCTCTAGGGTGGTCTGTTCACCTCGAATACCCCTAGGGTTTATTCGGCTCATCCTTGATGATGGGCTAGGACTTTGGCAGCCTTACTCCAGTTTGCCAGTCCCTTCTTCTCTGCCTGGAGGCTTCTAATCAAGCCTATATGGTGATTGGCTCTTCTATTCATAGTTTGCTCCTTGCTATAAGTCTTCTACTACAGTACTGAGTGCTTCAGGTCCCTGTTTTGATTGGCAGTATTCCTTTTAGTCTTTTTGTTATTTCTTAGGTCTGTATATGACCCTATAATTCAGTTTTGACTGATTGTATTACTCCCCTGGTGTATGGTTAAGTGTGTGTCTTGATTCTAGCTATTTTTTGCCCTCTTTCGGTAATAGTTATTATTACAAATTGCTGTTTGGAGTGTAGTTTTTTATGATGGCTAACATTACCAATGCATCACTCCTTAGTCTCTGACACTTTTCTTGAAGAGTCGAGAGAAGATGGGTTATGTTGATGGGAGAATCCAAGCACTTAGTATCACTAAACCTAGTTATGACCAGTGGGAGATTACTAATTCTTTGATTATGGGCTGGCTCATCCATTCCATGGTTCTAAAGATTGGTGAGGGCTACTTGTCTATGAAGACTGCCCAGGATATTTGGGATGCGGTGGTCACTAACTATTTCCGGAAGGGAAATTTCTCCCAAACGTTTGAGTTGCGCCGCTCTTTTGAGCGGTCAGTGCAGGGGTTGTAGATTGTTCTTTAGTATTTCACATTTCTTACTACTGGATGGAAACACTTGGATCACCTCCTAGATTACAAACCTGCCTGCACAGCTGATTTTGTGGGATATCGGAAATTTATCACACAAGAAAGGGTCTTCAAGTTTCTAGAAGGTCTCAACGTAGAGCTTGATCTTGTCCGGAGTCGTGTTCTTGGCATGGATGTTTTTCCCTCTTTCTAGGAGGCTTTTGCCTATGTCTAGAATGAGGAGAGTCGTTCTGCTATAATGCCACCTACTTCTACAGACCGCTCTGCCTTACTTTCTATTTTTCCTTGGGATGGGCCTAGTTTGCCCCTCACTTTTCCTAATCCTTCAACGAAGGGTAATCTGGTCTGTGATTATTGTTGCCAGCCGAGACATACCTGTGAGACATGTTGGAGGCTTCATAGTGCTCCCTCTAGGGGGCGTGGTGATTGGTCTGGTAATAGAGGAGATCAATCAGGCTAATCTAGAGGATGTGGCCCCACCTCCTATGCCCATTAGTCTAGTGTAGTTGATTTACATGACTGCTTCCGGTGTTCAGCCTTCTGATGCTATGTCTAGCATGTCTACTTCTGAGCTTAAGGATGTCTTGCGTCACTTGTTGGACTGCCGGTCTTTCCCTCCTCCTACAGGTGCACCTTCCTCTTCGTTTGCCCACTCAGGTAACTTAGGCTTTTCTTGTAGTGCTTTTCTGTCCCATAAGTCTTTACCATGGATTATTGATTCTAGTGCCTTGGATCATATGTGTGGGTTGTCTGATCTTTTCTCAGATTATAAACTCACTTCTGGTCAAGACAAAGTTAGGATTGTAGATGGTACTATTTCTTTTATTTTTGGGGAAGGTTTAATCCGTGCCACTCCTTCTATACCTTTGTTATCCGTCTTACATGTTCCAAATTTCTCTGTTAATCTTTTATCATTGGTTGTCTTACTTGGGATTTGAATTATAGTGTGATATTTTTCCCTGATCATTGTGTGTTTCAGGACCTTATCACGAGGACGACAATTGGCAGTGGTAAAATTGTAATGCCCCGAAAGAATA